TATAATGATATTTACATATAAATAAACGAACTCAATACTTTCTATTATGATAGTACATTTTGTGCGCGTGTGTGTGTGTGTGTGTATATAAGGTATTGTCTATGTTTATCTCTATGATACTGTATACTTATTATTGTCTAATAAATAAACAAATTGAATGAATAAACAATTATCAAATATCTATACAGGCGTTACCGCTTTAACAAAACAAAATAAGAATAATTCAATGACCCCTATAGTGATATATGCATAGTATTGTTGATTTCATTGATTTATTTATTATTATCATTAGTTTGTATACTTGAAAACAATGAATTCTTTATAAGTAAGTAGTATTCATCAGTTTTATAGACTAACTATTTATTTATTATGGATGTGTACTGCTGAAGAGTTTCACAAGATGACGAAACAACCATCTAGTACTTCTAGGTTTTTTGATAGTGGTCTAGCTTCAATTGACTTATGATCTCAATGATTAAAAGAATTACTATCATATCCATAAAAAACCCTTCCTGATACTAACTAGCATATACTTACTAGTGACTGACTTCAAGAGGTATTTCCTGGAGTTCTAATGAGAAGAATTGACTTGTGAAGTTCAACCGGATCTGTTGTGAGATAGTAACTCGCTGATGACAATAGTGGATGTATCACTCAATTTTGTGGATTAGTTGAAGTTAAACATTAACACCGTTAGATGTCAGCTATCTCAGTGGCTTAGAGATTAAGCATTCATACGTGAAACTGATAGGTTCTAGATTCGAATCTCACGTGGCGATTTGATGAATAGGCTCTATCGAGAAGTCTCAAAATATGACGAAACAACCATCTAGTACTTCTAGGTTTTTTGATAGTGGTCTAGCTTCAATTGACTTATGATCTCAATGATTAAAAGAATTACTATCATATCCATAAAAAACCCTTCCTGATACTAACTAGCATATACTTACTAGTGACTGACTTCAAGAGGTATTTCCTGGAGTTCTAATGAGAAGAATTGACTAGTGAAGTTCAACCGGATCTGTTGTGAGATTGTAACTCGCTGATGACAATAGTGGATGGTGGCTCAATTTCGTGAATTGATTGAAGTTAAACATTAACACCGTTAGATGTCGATCATCTCAATGGTTTAAAGGTTAAATATTCATACGTGAAACTGATAGATAACGACTTTATGAATACATTCTACCGACGATTCTCACATTAGGACGAAACGACTGTCTAACGTTTCCAGGGTTTTTTATGATGATCTACCTTTAAATTGATTCATGATCTCAACTATTAAAACTAATTATAATATCCATAATAACAAACTCTTATGATATTTATTTATTTTTTGTTTTGTTTCGTTTAGATAAACTTCTTTTCCTTTTTCGTCGTTGTCGTCGTCGTCGTCGTCATTGTTGTTGAAAAGTTCATTCTGATCAATAGTTAAATAAAATTTTTCCAAAATCCCCAGTTCATTTATCATTTTTTTTTGGTTTTTGTTTTCTAGACAATCTACGAACTAATCAATTTCAAACGGATAGTTCCTTATTATTATTATTATTATTCAGTTTGTTGTCTTGACTACTATATTCTATACAATGTGTATCTATTCCATATATATATATGTTCAATCTGCATAAGGGGGGTGTTTATTTCCCCAATAGTAAACAAAAATAAACAAACAAACAAACAAACTTATAACTTATAGTAGATGAGACCTGGATTTGCGTGCACTATTATGATGATTATTGTTATCATTACTGTTATGATAATTATGATTATTCTTCTTAATACTGAAAAAAATGGGATAAACATTTTACTTTATTGTTTATAAGTTGTTTTACTAAAAGAATTAACTATGGTATATACTACTTATGTCTGTCGACATAAGTAGTAGGTATGTACGTATTATTGTTATTATTTAAATATATATACATTACACAGATTGAATTCATGAGTCAATTGAAGCTAGACTACCATGGAAAACCTGAAAGCACTGGAAGTGCCTGGCGCGAGACTGATAGCTCCCGGGTTCGAATCTCGCGGGGTGCAGGATCGTGGATATGCACTGCTGAGGAGTCCCATACTAGGACGAAACGGCCATCCAGTGCTTCCAGGTTTTCCATGGTGGTTTAGCTTCAACTGACTCATGATTTAAAATCTGTGAAATTTCTAAAAAGTCTCCACAAACCCCTTCTGATATAAACATTAGTACAAATAGGAACCAAATACATGTATGTCACATTTTGTTATTTCAGTCAGTCAGTGACAACGCAGAACTTCGTACGTACGTACATCACTTCAAGTTGCCATACCACATTAGCACACAGATACAATTGTTGATTCAAATCCCATAGTGATAGAGGTAGTAAGAGTATAAACAGTAATCGAAAACATTAGGATTTGAAGATGTTATTCAAGGAGTATAAACCAGTGAAATAAATTTGGAAAGAGAAAGAAAAAGAACATGACATGAAGAATTCAGAAGATTAGAATTTGGGAAACCACAAAAGTGGATCCACCTGCACCATTGCAAAAGATTTTGAGCTATGTCACATTCAAAGTCTCTAACTATCGGTTGCTATCGTCTGGTGGATCCTAACTAGATAGTCTACACCTATCAATATTGCTCAATCCTCTTGTCAGTGACTTCATAGATTTGTGCCATGTTTTGGTTTGGCCGCCCCTAGCTTTCTTCCAACCTACTCCTTCCTCACGTCGGGGAAGTTGATGGTTGGGCATACGTAACACATGTTCCAGCCATCTGAACTGATGAAGCTTCACTACTTCATCAATTGATTTGCCATCCTTACCTGATACCCATTTCTTAACTACTGCGTTACTTACTCGATGGTCCCAGGATATACGAGCAATGTTTCGAAGATACCTATGATCGAATACTAGTAACCTACGAATATCCTCTACTCTTACCGGTCATGTTTCACTGTCATAAAGTAGGACGAAACGAACTGCTGCGCAGTAAACACTTCCTTTGGTTGGTAGACGGATATCTCGCCTGCGCTATAAATGATGAAAGTTGGCAGAAGCTAGTCAGAGCCTTCTGTATCTGTGCCCTGGTGTTCAAATCGAAGCAGGTTATTCTCTTAGGAGGCCATTCTTTAAGCCTTTGATCGGAAGGCAGTGGAATATGGTAGCCAATGACTAGCAATAGCTTCATACCGCTTTTGTTTCCTTAGGATGCTAGAGACCATATGCACTACTGGTTTGGGATCAGGATTTTTCTGACTTCTCTAAGTGAACCCTCTGTATCCACCAACCCGGTTGAAGATCCAAACATTCGCTTTTCGTATTTTCAATTTCGTAAAGAACAGTAATGCCACGAGAAGGCAGTGAGTAGGACTTCCATGACAGTGGTTGTATGCACGTGGTCATATGAAAGCATTTCGGGAGGGAGATCTGACTCTCTTCACTCTCGATTGTACCAGTATGTTTGACCATACTATTATTTACTTCAGTAGTATATAACACCAATAAGAAGTCAAAACCTTGACAGTAGAAGTCTAGGTCGACTTGAAGAAAATAGTAACAGAATTAGAAATAAATTATGAATCATGAGAGCTATGCAGAATATGTTCTTGTTTATTACAGAACACGTTTATTGGTTAATTGAATATAAATTATTGGTATGATGATATTTAAGTTTATATTACCGTCTAGTTAAGTATGGCGCGGAAACCTGGAGAACAGCGAAAGCCATCATCCAGAAGATACAAGTGTTTATTAACAATTGTCTACGCAAAATACTTCTGATCCGTTGACCAAAGAGTATCAGCAACAACCTACTGTGGGAGAGAACAAACCAGATCCCAGTGGAGGAAGAAGTTAGGAAGAAGTGCTGGAAGTGGATAGGACACACATTGAGGAAAGCACCCAACTGTATCACAAGGCAAGCCCTCACTTGGAATCCTCAGGGCCAAAAGACAAGAGGAAGACCAAAGAACACATTACATTGAGAAATGGAGACAGACATGAGAAGAATGAACAACAATTGGATAGAACTAGAATGGAAGGCTGAGAAGAGAGTAGGTCGGAGAATGGTGGTCGCCGGCCTATGCTCCATTGGGAGTAACGGCTGTAAGTAAGTAAGTCTACCATCAGGCATTCCACTTCCGACTGGTGATACCTACTACTTATATCTGACGACATCAGTAGCACACACTACAATAGTACCACACGATCTTGTTAATCTCACTCTAAAACTTGCGGTTCTTCTTATTTATTTTACACTTTCTATTCCTAGTTTTATTCATCCCGTTTAAATGATGCTTTCAAATACATTAGTATTGTGATTATTACCAGAAGGGGGTTTTTGCAGAAATTTTAGTAATATAATAGTTGAATTCATGAGTCGATTAAAGCTAGACCACCATGGAAAACCTGTAAGCAGTAGATATCCGCAAGTGACATCGTAGATGGGCACTTCTGAAGAGGTTCATACTAGGGTGAAACGGTCTTCCAGTACTTCTATGTTGGTTCAACTTTAATTGACTCATGAATTGGATAATTTGTTCTTTATCCATTATTGTTATCCTCTATTTATTACAATCATTTACTAATTATTTGAGATCATGAACTGATAGATATTAGATCACCATTGAAAACCTGAGAGCACTGGGCGACCGTTCCCTTTGACCTAAAGGTCTAACCCACAAGGCAGTGGAGCATCGTAAGGAGATGTAGTCCCATGGGAGCCAGTGACCAACGATTGGTTCATACGTCATTTGTTCCCGCAGGATACTGGAGCCCATGTACACCATTGGTTCACATTGAGGTAGAGATACCTGTCTCTACCCGACAAAGATTAACTCGACAACCTTATACTGACCCGAATCATTTATTTTATATAACATCATTATAACACATAAACTTTCTATTTACCTGTAAACACATTGATAAACCAATACTTGCTTCTAAATTGTATTTATCTAATTTTAAAGCGAATTCATATTCATTCAATGCTTGATTCCAAAGATTTATGGAATTCGTTTCATTCATTTTGATTTTATAACCTTCATAATCCATTAAACAATTAGCATATGCAATATATCCTTTTAAAAAATTTGGTTGTTGAATTGTTAAATTATGCAATATCTGTTCGGCTTCAGGATACATTTCAAGTCTAATAATAATAATAATAATAGTAATATAATGAGTAAAAGGGAATATAACAAGAACGAACTCAAATGATACTTGTGTTTACGGATGAGTCAATTCAAGCTACACTACCATTGATAACCTGGAAGAACTAGATGACTGTTTTGTCCTAGTATAGAACTCCTCAGCAGTGCGTATCCATGATCCCGTTGCCTTCCTGAGATTCCAACCTAGGAACTCTCAGTCTCTCCACACGAACACTTAACCTCTACACTACTGAGCTAGTATACAGTGGTGCTGATGTTTTAATTCATTGATTTTACAAACCAAATTTGTGTGATCAGATCATATGCTCGAATGTCAGTACTTCTTCTATTGGGTTATATTGTTATAACCGCGATATAAATGCAAAGAATATTCATCTATTTTCGCAAAGCAAAAGCAGTATTCCTACAGTTGAAGAATATATGGGACTCAAAACAACTATCGTCAAGCCAACATCAAAGTGAGAATCTTCAATACGCATGTCTAGACAGTTCTACTATACGCAGTTGAAACTTGAAGAACTACCACAATCATCATTAAAAGAGTACAAGTATTTCTAAACAATTTGTCTACTCAAAATACTCAGTACCTGTTGGCCGGATACCATCAGCAACAGTTTACTGTGGTAGAGAACAAGCCAACTTCCAACTGAGGAGGAAATTAGGAGGTCACAGGAGGATATTAGGACATACATTGCTGGAATCATCAAGCTACATCACGAGACAAGAGCTAATCACAACTGATTGATCACTGGGTGGCGATCAATGTCATGCGTGTCTAGTCCTTATTAGTGCAGATCGAATGCTATCGATCGCCACCCAGTGATCAATCAATTGTGATTACATCTCAGTCCTAGAGGAGGTCGGTCGCGGCTCGGATGGCTCAGTGGTAACGTCTTTGACTGTGAAGCTGGGTGACACGAAGTTGAATCCGCCAGGGATCACCAGTTCCATCAAGACTACAGGTACACCTCGCTGAGGAGTGCCAAGTAGCACGAAACCCGGGTTCAGGGTTTCCTGTCGACTACCTCCAACCACCATCTAACAAGCGCTAACTGGAGGAAGAAGGTGAAGAGGAAGAACATAAAACATACTGGATTGGAAATCGGAAGCAGATATGAAAGGGATGAATAATAACTGGGAACAAGTGAAAAGAATTGTCCAGGACAGGGTTGGATAGAGAGTACTGGTGGGTGACCTCTGTTCCTCCACGAGGTATAACAACCTCAAGTAATTAAGTAAGTAAGCCGTCTGTTTCTACTGACATCTTAATCATCTTATCATTTCTTACCTTTGATGACAAATACCAATTGTATACATTAATTTAATAAACAAATCTGAGTTAGTTTCATTTTGAATTGTAGAATTCATCAATTTATCCATAATAGTTTTAGCTTGATATAAATCCTTTATAGCTTTATGATAATCTTGACATTTTTCTATATATATGATTGATCTATTAATTAAACTATAAAGTTGAACTGATCCATTTAAAGTACCAGATTTAATAGCTTGATCATAATCCTGTAGATTGAATATAAAAAAAGAACAAAATTAAAAGATAATACTACTTTTATTTATTCAGTAGTTTAAATAGTAGAGATAAAATAAAGTTGAAAACTTGCTAGTAACATTACAACCGATGCATTTCACTGCTCTTCATAGATTGCATGTTGTAAATTATACATGTTGGGGATGTTAGATCTTCTGAACTGACTTGGTAAATGCCTTATTTTTGTCATTCTATTTTAACAGTTTGAATTTCGTGTTTTCGCGCCAAAAGCGCTTATTTTCACTTTCATGTCATATGTCTCACTTGAGAGGAACTTAAATGCTATTGGTTCGTTATCTCTTTTAGTGCGCCATTTTGTACCGTTTTCCAAGGACATTTTTATGCTATATATACGCTTGATTTGTGCTTGTCGTCGTTGTTCGAGGTACTGGCTGTTTGTGGAATATATTTCCCTCTTCTAAACTTGGACTTCTCTCTCTCTAGTTAGCTGGGTTGGGACGCGTCAGAATAGTTATCTTATCTGCCATTGGGTCACAGAGTCTTCGTTCCGTTCTCAGATTAGGTGAAATCGGAATCTCTTCAAACATAGCAATTTTGGCGACGAGGCTGGTGAAAACATGAATCCCTTAAAAGTGGAATTACTGCTTGAGCAGCAGCTGAAACTTATCCAGATATTAGCAGATGAAAAAATTACGCCTAACACATAACCAAGCATTTCTAATTCTGCTACTACTGCACCTTCAGTTGATAGTATCGCGAGCACTATCTCTGAGTTTTATTACGATCCTTAATCCAATGTCACACTTGATATGTGGTTTCAGCGTTATGAAGACTTATTGAAATTTGATTTTGCTAATCAATATGATGCTAGGAAAGTTCGCTTGCTGCTTCGGTCCTGGTGAGCTAGATAGATATTGTAACTTAATTCCGCCTCTAAACTTACATGATCGCCCATTCTCGGACACCATTTAGTCATTGGACCAACAGTTCGAAGATAACTCCCCACTGTTCAACACACGCTATCGATATTTGAAACTGACTATGAACGAAGACGCCAATTTTCTGACTCATGTGGGTATTGGTTGAAGTTAGACATTCACACCAATCTAGAGGTTAAGCGCTCGCGCGCGAGATCGAAGGTCCAGGATTGAAGTCCCGCAGGGGGAGGGCATGGATGGGCACTGCTGAGTCGTCTCATACTGGGACGAAACAGTCGTCCAGTGCTTCCAGATTTTCCATAGTGGTCTAGCTTTAACTGAACCATGAACTCAACTATTAGATAAGTATTTATCACTCAATGCATAAGTAGTTATATGATTGATTTTCAAATATATTTCGTATAGAGTAAAGATAAAATGGATTATTCTTCTTTTAATATCATGATGTCTTCAGTGGTTGATTGTGAGATATTATTTTCGTTACCAGTTTTAAACGGTAAATAAGTCTTATTTATATGTAGTTCTCAGTAAGGTTAACTCTAATTGATCAAAATTCATGAATCTCACCTAAAATAAACCTGGACTTTGCTATCTTGAACTCGAATGGTTTCTAAGAATACCACACAAACATAAATGACGTTTACTTTCTATATTTAAAGTGTTTACGTCTTCAGGAATTTGTGAGGCAGACAATAATTGTTATCTCCAATTCTTCATTTTGGGACCGGAGTCAGACAAGGCTGCCTAATCTCCCCATTCCTCTTTGTTTTGGTGGTGTTCCACTGGATTGTGAACACTTACACATCTGAAGGGGAAACATGGGATACTATAGAAAGTTCGGGATCAACTAGAAGATTTGAACTTCGTAGATGACCTGGTCCTGGTATCCCATACACTTCAACAAATGCAGATGAAAACAACTAGTGTAGTAGCAGCCTCTACAACAGTAGGCTTCAACATACAAAAAAGAAGAAGCAAGATCTTCAGACACAACACTGAGAACACCAAACAAATCACACTTGATGAAGAAACTCTGGAAGACGTGGAATATTTCACGTACCTGGTCAGCATCATCCACGGACAAGGAGGGTCGGATGCGGACGTGAATGTGGGGATTCGCAAAGCAGGGACAGGATTCCTACAGTTGAAGAACATATGGAACTCAAAGAAACTGTCAACCAATATCAAAGTCACAATCTTCAATACGAATGTTAAGACCGTCTTATTGTATGGAGCTGAAACGTGGAGAATGTACAAGTATTTATAAACAATTGTCTACATAAGATACTCAGTGTTTGTTGACCGAATACCATCAGCAAAAGCCTACTGTGGGATAGGACAAATTAACTTCCAGATGAAGAGGATATTAGGAAAATACATTGAGAGTGGATAGGACACATATTTCGGAAATCATCAAACTGCATCATGAGACAAGTGCTAACTTGGAATGTTGAAGGGAAACGGAAAAGAGGAAGGCTGAAGAACACGCTGAGTTGGGGATTGGAAGCAAACATGAAAAGAATGAATAAAAACTGGAAACAAGTGGAAAATGTTTCATAGGACATTTTTGGATAGAGAGTGCTAGTGGGCGGCCTATTCTCCTCCAAAATAATTCTAAATCACAACTTACCCATCATTACTTCATAATACACTCCAAGGAAAATTGAATTTTCTCATTTAGATACTACTGAAATAATTTTTAAGTAGAATCATTATTAATTCAAAAATAATTTACGTACTTCAATTGCATCATTCCATTTATCGTGTGTTTGACGACATAAACCACGATTATAATAAGCTAAAGAAGATTTCTGATCTTTTTCTATGGCTATATTTAAATCAGCTTCACAAAAATCCATATTTTTTAATAAATATTTGTATACACCACTGAAGTAGAAAGAAAAAAAGTGAACAAAAAGAAAAACATGAACTGAAGTCCTTGAGTGAACATCAACCCTGAGAAGTAGGTACATCCAACTGACGAGTCCTAAAATAGGACGAAACGCGCGTCAAACTGGATTCCACTGCTAGCTATTATCCATCTTTGCTTAAAAAGCTGGTGAATTAAGCCTATATCGAGGCAATCCGCACAGGATGCACATATGTCTATAAGAGACTGATCAGTTGTAGTCATAAATAACGATAGGAAGATACAAGTAAACAACATCAAGTGAATGTAAATAAGTATTTGAGTTTATAGATTACAATACTTTAACAGTGCATAAAGTATTGATTCCACTTCCATTCGACTGATGATAACCCAATAACTCAAGCCCGTGCCAAAATGATTCGTCCAACATCTGATTCCTTCCATTAGCTGTGTTTTCTTTTACTTAAATATGATTATGATCACATTGTCCATAAATAACCATTACAACTATATTTCTATGTAAAGCTAAAGGTTTCATATGAGACGAGAGGTTCGCCATTGATATTGTGGATGATTCGGCTTTGCTTTGGTAAGTTTTACTGACTGATCATGCACAAAATTGGTTTGCTGGTTAACCGATTCAATTCATACTGGTAGTTGCTTTTCAGTGTTCTCAAGGAACATTCTAAGGCATGTCGCTTTTGCTAACATTAATGAGTTTGACTGTTGTGTAAGCGGAATAGGTCATCTTTGGCCTGTTCGTGTTGTGCATAATTGATTCATGCGATCATTGATCGGAATAATTATTATACATGCGATATGAATGTGTATATGAGTGGTGCGAATAGTCCACCAGGGTGCTTGGTATCAATGTGGTTGCGTCAAAGGATTGAGCTGTACTATTCAGATTGTAGCGTTAAAGCCTATACGGTGTCTGGTTCTCCTGTGAAACGGGATTGAGCTATACTGTTTGGGTTGTCACGTGAAAGTCTGGATGATGTCTGGTTCTCTTGAAAACCAATGTAAAATTACCCTGGCCCACAAAGGTATATTATATAACCATGAATAATTATCATATCAGTTATTTGTACAAAAAGAAACGTTATGGTTTTAATTTCATTACTATTTCAGTAGTTTTGTTACTAAGCGGTTTGGGTTACATGATTAAATCTAATTTTTCTGTTCTAGTTTGCTTCGTACAAAACTTGGTCTAAGTACATACCTTAAACGTCCATTAGTATAAATTCACTTCTTATTGTTTAGTTGAATCTTCCCATTGAGGTTTTTTAAGACTAACATTGATCAGTCTGTAATTGGCATACGTGCATTCTGTGCACATTACCTCGATATTGCCTTGATTCACAAGCATTATAAGCGAAGATGGATGGTGGCCGGTAGTGGAATTCAGGCTATCAGGACTCAGTAATTGAGTAGATAACGTGATGACGTTTGTAGCGAACAATACTGGGTTTGAGTCACAGCTGGAGTGAATATCAAATCTGAGATGCGGGTACATCTAGTCGACGAGTCCCAAGTAGGACGAAACAAGCGTCAAACTGGATTCTACTGCTAACCACCATCCATCTTTGCTTATGGCCCATCAGTATATGTTATATCTCTGGATTTAATATATACATAATTTCAATATTTCAATTTCTCAGGTACACTGAAGTAAAATATCTGGGGAAACTGTACTTCTATAACTAATGAAGGATAGACTTGATTCACATCTTGTTATGGTATATTGCTAAAAACATAAATTTATCAGTGGAATATGACGCTTTAGAAACAGTTCGATTGTATTTATATTAACTATTTACAATTTTAAAATACTTCTGAGAAAGATTGATTAATAGTCGTTGATTAAAGCTAGACCACTATGGTCTAGAGATTAAGTGTTCGCACACGAGATCCAAGGTCCTCGGTTTGAGTCCCGCGTATGAGGACGTGGATGTACACTACTGAGGAATCCTATACTAGAACGAAACGGCTGTCCAGTGCTCTCAGGTTTACCAAGTTGGTCTGACTTAAATCAACTCATGAATTGAACTATTAAATTACTACAATCTACACTCGGAGCCTTTGACCTAATGGTCTGATCAACAAGTCAGTGGAGGAACGTCAGGAGATGCAGTCCCTTGGTAGCCGGTGAGCAACGATTGGTTTCATACCTCATTTGTTCCTTCAGGATATTAGAGCCCATGTGCACCATTGGTTTGGAATCAGGGTGTTCCAACTCCTATAGGTGGACTCTGTGGACCCATCAACCCGGTTAAAGTGCCGGATATTCGTCTTTCGTCATCTCAATTTCGTAAAAAACACCCGTGGTGCAAGAAGGTAGTGAGTAGGACTTCCCTGGCAGTGGTTGTATGCAGCGAAGTCCTAGTATGGTACTATACAGCAGTGCACATCCACGATCCCGCTCGCGAGATTCAAAGGCAAGACCTTCGGTTTCGTGCACGAGCGTCTAACCTTTAAATCACTAAACCGGTATTCAATGCTTTTAATGTCTAACTAAAACCAATGTAAAAAATTGCTCCATCGTCCATCATTATCTTCAGTCAGTCACTATCTCATATCAGACCTGGTTGAGTTCTACTGGTCACTGCTTCTCTCTAGAACCCCAGAACATACCTCTTGAAACCAGCTACTAGTGAGTATATGATTATTATTATCAGAAAGAGGGTTTTGTGAAGAGTCCCATATTAGGACGAAACAATCATTCAGTGTTTCCAGGTTTTCCAGGGTGATCTAACATTAATTGACTCATGAACTCAACTATTAACTGACTATATATCAATTAAAACTTTATTATTAATCAATTACCGATAAATCCATATTCTTGTCCATTCTGATCTTCTATGAATAACTTCATTACAATTAAGTATAGCTTTTGTATAACGTTGATTGATACCAAAATATATAATTCGTGTTAATAAACATTGATCAATTAAATTAACATATTTCATAGGTCCATTCAAATGAATTTGATCTACTGAAGACGTTTTAGAATGGATTAAAACTAATGCTTGACTTATATCATTTAATACATTATCATTGAAATCGTTAGGTAAGATAGTTCTTTTATGAAGGTGTATAGCTATCAATCGACATGTAGATTGAGCACGATATAAGTAAACCTTATGAATAAAATTAATTTATTGAAGTATCAGTATGTAATATGTTTAAACAGAAAATCAATTTAAATGGGTAAGATCATGAGTCAGTTGAAGCTAAATCACTATGGAAAACCTGATAGCAATGGATGGCCATTTCGTCCTATTGTAGGACTCCTCAGTAGTCTGCAGCCACGATCGCTCTCTCCCCCCCTCGAGATTCGATCCCAGGACCTATCACTCTCGTGCGCGGGCGCTTAACCACTAGACCACTGAGATAGTAACTCACTGATGACAATGGTTGATGTGTCGCTCAATTTCGTAGATTAGTTGAGGTTAGACATTAACACCGTTGGATGCCGGCTCAGTGGTCTCATGGTTAAGCGTTCGCGTGCAAGACTAATAGGTCCTGAGTTCGAATTCCGGGAGGCAGGATCATGGATGCGCACTGCTGATAAGTACCACAATAGGACGAAACGGTTATCCAGTGCTTCCAGGTTTTCCACGATGGTCTAGCTTCAATTAACTCATGATGTCAACTATTAAAATTAGTATAATATCCACAAAAAAAACCTGGTTTTGAATTGTTTGAAATTAGGAGATCATGTAGAGAATGTAGTTGTCATGGTGTATTTAGATTCTAAGTGGTGAAACATTCCAAAACTGTTTTTTTTTTTAAACTTTCAATCAGGGGTACTGTTAAGTTTGTCTTACTTTGCTCCTACTCACTCCCTTACCACTCCGTTGTATATTGTGTTTTATACTACTTATTTATATTGAGTAAGCAGTTGTATTCCCAACAATGTTTACACTTATGTTGTAGTGTATTATCCTGAACTGTTCACACATACTTATAACGTTTATTGTACTTATCATTGTATTTATCATTATAATCACTATACCTTAATCACTATAGCGGTTATCCATAGTCTTGTGCATTTTTTTAAACGCAACAGTTTCCATAATGTTTTGCTCTTGATTCGGGTTTCGGTTGTTCATAAACTGTTGTCAGGTATAGACACAGCTATCAGCTGTCTTTTGTACTATCGTATGGTATAATTATTCTTTATGTTACTTTTACAGGAAGCCTTTGTTATTTTCATTCTTGAAGGACGCGTTTAAACGCCCCAGACACTTCACAAGTTAAGATTTGTAACTACATTTTGTGTATTATTCAATAAAGAACCGGCTATTGTAGACAAATCGTTACTTTGGAAACTTCGATTTTCCGCGTATCTCAATCAGGTGACTTGGATGCTTCAATAGATCTAACAGGTACTATGTTCAACTCATTAGTGGAACTTTCGGATAATAATAATAATAGGCGAATATATACATACATACATACATTCATACAACATAAATACATATACACACATACATACAATATACATACACATATATTACTTACATACATGCACACACATAAACATACATACATACTTACATATATACTTACATGTGGTCTATGAGGATCATAATGAATGAAACTTGTAAAAGCTTGAATAGCTGGTATATAATCTCCTATTTTCATATAATATTGACCAAGATGATTATAGATTTCTATTTTCTCAAGTTTTTTACAATTCTATAGTATTATGTAATAAATAAAAGACAAAACAATGATAGTTAGATCCTTATTAAGATATGACTGATGTAAGAAATATGAAATACAGTATATTGAATAAATAGTTTTAACTCTACCAGGAGTCCCTCCGGAGGCTACTGCCGGTCCCAAGCCCGGATAAAGGAAGAGGGTTGGGTATGGTGGTTAGCGATCCCATCCCGTAGAAAACTAACTTGGTAACAAAACGCTAACCAGAATAAATAGTTTTAGAGTATCATTCGTCGATACATTATTGACAGGCTCTTAGGTTTGATCCATGATGAAGGCATGAGAGTAAATAGTGTTGAGTAATGACAAACACTTATAGTTATGTAATCATATTCCTTTTTTTGTTGTTGTTGGTACTTTCATTTCATGATAGAGAATAGTTATTATATACTGATGTTTGAAAAGATCTATATATATTCATTGAAATTAGTTCATTCATCTGAACTGATCCACACAGTAGACGCCTAATATCGAGATCAACAGGCTGGATTCTGTAAGGATCAATCGTGCACAGATCAAATTGAGACACTAAGGATCATTGTCGAACAATCAGTTGAGTGGAACTCGTCATTATAGATCAGTTTCATTGACTATGAGAAGGCGTTTGACAGTGTAGATAGGAGAACACTATGGAAACTTCTCCTACACTATGGAGTACTTGAGAAGAATTTCAAAATTATTCCCAACTCATACGACGGACCACAGTGCTAATTTGTGTGTGATCGACTGGATTATCAAGACCTCGACATCTGAGGGAAAACATGGAATACTGCGGACAGCTCAGAACCAATTAGACGATGTGGACTTCATAGATGACCTAGCTCTCCTATCTCGTACACAGTAACAAATGCAGATAAAGACAACTAGTGTAGCAACAGCCTCTGCATCAGTGAGCCTCAATATACACAAGGGGAAAACCAAGATCCTCAAATAGAACACGGAAAACACCAACCTATCCAAACTTGAAGGCGAAACTCTGAAAGATGTGGAATCTTTCACGTACCTAGGGAGCAGCATTTATGAACAAAGAGGATCCAATGCAGACGTAAAGGCGACGATTGGCAAAGTAAGGGCCGCATCCCTACAAGTGAAGAATATATGAAACTCAAAAGAACTGTCAACCAATATCAAGCTCACAATCTTCAATACGAACGTCAAGACAGTTCTACTGTACGGAGCTGAAACTTGGAGAAGTACTACAACCATCATCAAAAGAGTACAAGTATTTATAAACAGTTGTCTATACAAGACATTCAACATCCATTTGCCGGATACCATCAGCAACAGCCTACTGGGGGAGAGAATAAACCAGCTTCCACCTGAAGAAAAAAATAGGAAAAGACGAAGGAAATGGATAGAACATACATTACGGAAATCATCAAACTTCATCACAATCCAAGTACTACTTTGAAATGTTGAAAATAAGCTGGAAAAAGGAAGGCCAAAGAACAAATTACGTCGGGAAATTGAAGCAGATATGAAAAGGATGAATAACAATTGGAAGAGCTGGAAAGGGTTGCTCATGACAGGGTTGTATAGAGAATGCTGGTGAGCGGCCTATACTACTCCACGAGGAGTAACAGGCGTGAATAAGTAAGTAAGTAACATATATTTCTTGTTGTATTCTTTCGTTTGTAATCCTACTAAATGATTGTGCGATATCGTGAACTGATTAAACTCATTTATTTAAACACATGAACACTAATACGAAAACGTGCCAAATACATATGCGCCACATAAACCAATCGATTTTTATGAGGTCTGAGATACTAAACGGGTGTCCAAATCGAATCACGTGGTTTTCTTAGACGGTCGCACCAGGAGCCTTAGATCTAAAGGTATGACCTATAAGACAGTGGAACAACGTAAGGAGATTCAGTTCCATGGTAGCCGGTGACCAAAGGTTGGTTCTTACACCATTGGTTTGGAATGAGGGTTTTCTAACTCCCCTTAGGTGGATCCTGAATATCCACCAATCCGGTTAGAGCATCGAACATTCACTTTTCATCCTCTCAATTTCGTAAATAACAATAATGCCACTTGAAGATAGTGAGTAAAACTTCCCTGGTAGTAAATGTATGCACGTGGTCATGTGAGACCACTTCGAGAGGGAGAGTTGACACTACCTTCTCTCGACTGTACCAGGGTATTCAGAGGCTAACTGAACATAGATACCGTAACTTCTGGATACTAGCCTGAAAGTTGCGGATTTCCACTGACATAGACTAAATAACTCTTCAAATTAAGATTAACCTATAATGCATCATATGAATTTGCTTAAGTATAGTTAACAAATCTATCAATATTCAAAGCTTAACTTACTAATTTCTTTAAACTATTTACTAATAATTCAATAGAATTCATTGTTTTTTGTTGTTTATCCATGATGAGACCAAGTAATAATATATTACTTAATACCAACTGATGCTTTGTATCTTCTAATAGAATGGTCTCAGCTTCTTTATATTTCTTCAGATAGTAATATGCTAATGCCTATGATGTAATATTAGCAACAAAAAAAGAAAACAAAAAAAGTGAGAAGATAAAATGATCGATGACCTTTGAACAACACCAAAATGACCTTGGAGTAACCATCAACTTGTCAAAGTTAAATGAAGGTTATATATTAGTGTGAGGAATTAGAATTAGGTGTTTTCATCATGAACTGATAACAGCTATAATGCTAAAATGGTATTCAGTTAAAGGAGTGAATGAATTTCGTGCCAAAAATCTAAGATCTGTTATCTCAAATCTGATTGGTTCGTTCAGAAATTATAGTTTCCCCCTACTTATTTACTTACTTACTACTGTCACTCCCTAATCAAGCATAGGCCGCTGACCAGCACTCCCCAACCCGCTCTGTCCTGGGCGTTCCTTTCCAGTTCTGTTCAGTTTTTGCTCATTTTCTCATGTCTGTCTCTATTTCTCGACGTAATGTGTTCTTTGGTATTCTTTTTTCTCTTTAGCCTTGAGGATTCCATGCTTGCTTTGTGACTCAGTTGGGTGTATCGTCTCATCGATAGAATGTAATTTGAGAGTATTGAAAGGTTCTGAGTTTGAATCTCGCGTGGTGGGATTATGGATGCACACTGGTGAGGAGTCCCATACTAGGCCGAAACGGCCAGGATAAATCAAATAGCAACTTCCCATACTCATCCTGATATCTTATCCGTCGAAATGTTCGTAGAATTTAACAGTTACTAATGATTTCATAAATACTTTTTGTTTTTTTGTTATCTTAATAACTTAATAAATCATTTTTCTGTCATATTGTAGTGAAGGAAAACACAAGAGAGAGCAATACTTCATTTGCAAAATGTTCATTCATTGTCTCAGACTTCATTGTTACCTGCATTTTCATACTGATAGCTTTCTATTCCTGTTCTTTACTCTTCGATCTTCTCAATCTTCTTCTGCCAGGCATTTTATTTCTGATTGGTGTTATATATTACTTATATCGACGTAAGTAACATAAACTACATAATATAGATCTGGTTTTATGCTAGTTAGCATTCTTTATCAAGGTTTATCTATGATCTTGAAGAGATTCGTGTTCTCTGCTATATTCGAGCCCATATGATCTAGTTTTACAGCCTTAGATGTAACTACTCAGCTTTATAAGCCTTGAATAGTTTGCAGTAGGACTGGTATACTTGTAGTTGCTTCGTCACTTGTTTATTGACCATGTACTATATCAAATAAGTAATATTAGTATTGCATTTTATTTGAATAACATTGAAATACCTTAATAACTCTTCTGTAAACAATGCCTTGTTTGAAAATTCAAGTTTGTTTATTAAACAACTATTATCTCAACAGTTTTCTTATGAAAATGATAGTGTAGTGTGTACTACTGATATCGACTGATATAAGTAGTATGTATCACTGAACGAAAGTATAATGCTTGGCGGTAGAAAGTTGAAAAAACATCGAAGAGAAAAGAATGAGAACATAGAATGATTGGTTTGAAAATGAAGGAACATTGAAGTTTGAGACAACTGATGGACATTTTTGCAAATGAAGTATCTACCGTATAATTCTTAAATTTTACCGAGATAATATGTAATGGATATTCACGCTGGTGTTGTCATTCTCTACAGTATGCTTCAAAGCTCAATCAATTTCTCGTGTAGATAACATAAAAAATAATACGCCCCCCAAATACCTTGGTACGGTCGAGGGTGGGGAGAGTCATCTCTCTCTATATATTGAAATGCTCGCACATGGTCACACGTATTCAACCACTGTCAATGAAACTCTCACTCACTACCTTCTCGTGGCACCAGTTGTGTTTACGAAATTGAGAGGATAAGACGGGAATATCTGATGCTTTGTCTGATTTGGTGGATTTAAAGAATGCACACAGGGTAGTAGGAAAACTCTTATTCCAAACCAATGATGCACATAAGCTCCAGCATCCTAAGGAAACAAATGACGTATGAACCTAGTGCTGGTCACAGGCTACCATGGAACTGCATCTCCTAACGCTGTTTCACTGTCTTGTCGATTATGCCTGTAGATCAAAGGCTCCGGGTGTGGTCCCATGAGAACACCACCTGCTTCGGTTTGTGTTATAACTAGTGACCTTGTGCTCTATTTTATATACAACGTAATAATACCCCCAATTAGAGAACAGTGAATTAGAAAACCCGTACGAACAGTCTACAGTCTTTATCGGTCCTTCTTCCTAACAAGCCCAGTCTGCCTGTTGAGTCTAGGACACCAACCTCAGCCTCTGTGACATACAATCATGTATTTCAAATACATTGGGTTCATACACAAACCAAACAGACCATATGTACAAGATCTAGCCAAAAGTCGCTGTGAATGTGGGAGACTGTAATGAACAGCCGGCGAGACTATAATTTATGGACGAGCCAATCAGAAGCGTTTTAGAGATTTAAAGGTTACAGCGCCAACTTCAGTGCTTGATGCTAATGTACAATCGGTTCACAGGGAAGTTTGTACAAAACGTGATAATTTAGCGGCTATAACAAATAAAACAGCGAGACTATAATTTGTGGACGAATCAATCAGGTATAAGATAATAGATCTCGGATGTGAACGTGAAAGCCTTTCATCCATTTGGCGAAATAAATTTCTGGCATTATAGCTTGTGTCAGTTCGTGATGAAAACCCCATATATAATTCCTAACTAAGGCAATTATTGCAAACTGGATAATAAAAGCACCAGTAACACTGGTTGCAGCCAGGTACTACAATATATACGGAAGATTGGAGAGCGTACAGACTTCTACATAGGCTTGATTATGTGCATCATGTCGTTATCCACAAGTGGCATTTTATGCACTCAACAACTGGAGTGCACAACAGCAATATTGAAGCTACGTGGTCGAGGTTGAAAGAGGTTTCGAGACTTTATCATGACTCCAGAGGCCGATTATTCTGTAGCCGTATGGATGATCTTCTCTACTGCATGCATTACGGTTATAGGACCTCTGAACCTCTTTCTCACCTTGATGAGTTTTTGAACCACGTATAAGAAGTGTATCCACTTTATTTGCTTGGTTTTGTATGACATATTTATATTCTATACTGACTGTTTGCTTATTGGCTAATATTTCTCAAGGTTACTTAAGATTCGTTCAAAGGTCGTCCATAAATTAGAGTCTCGCCGAACAGCCTGGGCGTAACTCAAGAACGGCAAGTCGTATAATTATATTCTATAAGTCAAAATAAAGCTTATAATAAGAGGACAATGAATATACATAGTTTAATTACTTAACAATTACACAATAAACAAATACATGTATCATATTGATCTATAAATTGATCCAAACAGTTACCATCCCTTTATTCTCATCGGGATATAATCGTTTGTGTAGCCGATCAGTATCACAGCTGTTACATAAGTCGAATGACAAAGTGTGACGCATATACATCTGGTTCCTCCTTATATCAGTCAGTCAGTCAGTCAGTCAATCAGCTACAACGTAGGACCAGGCACATAAATTCATCGGTCCAAGTTGCCACACCTCATTAGCACAACAAGATGAACACCGGATTCATAGGAGTAGTTAAGTCAATGATCATAATAATAATAAACACAATACTACACATATATTTACCGTTTGTTTAGCTTGTTTATGAATTACACATTCTTCGGCTAAACTTAAATATTGTTGAATAGAACGTTGAATCAATTGAGCATTTTTTAATTTATATAAATAATTTGCAAGTAATAAATAAGTAGTTGCTAAATGAGGACTTAAATGTATCACACGTTGTATATCGAATATTGCCTTGTTAAACTATGGAAAAGAATCAGTAGAAGAAAACAACAACAACAAAATAGAGCATTTCATTCAATATGGGGTGGGATGGTTGTGGTGGTGGTGGTGGTTATGGAGTCAATTAAATCTTGACAACCATGGAAAACCTGGAAGCATTGGACGGCCGTTTCGTCTTAGTATGGAACTCTTTTAGAGGTTAACTGTACGCTTGTAAGATTGATAGGTCTTGGGTTCGAATCCAGTGAATGCGTACTGCTAAGGAGTTCGATACCAGGATGAAACGGACATCCAATAGTTCCAGGTTTTCCATGGTGATCTAGTTTTAATTGACTCATCAATTCAACTATTAAATTAATAATGAAAATGAAATTTCATCTTACACTTTGTAATGAAATATCAGTTATGATTTTATTAATCATCGGGTTATAACAGTTTAGATTAGTCAACATAGGATACAAAGGAGAGAAATGATGCTTTTAATTATCGATCCGCTTAGATTGGTGTTCACACGATAATGTAGCCGATAAAATTGGATCAGTTATAAAGGCTTAGATAAATACGATAGCTTCTTACTGTTTAATTACGCCTGTCACTCCCAGTGTAGCATAGGACGCTGATCAGCATTTTCCAACCCAATCTGCCACGGGCTTTCCTTTCCAGTTATGTACAATTGTTATTCATTCTTCTCATATCTGTCTCCATTTCTCGACGTAATGTGTTCTTTCGTCTTTCTCTTCGCCTTTGGCATTGAGGATTCCTAGTGAGGGCTCGCCTTGTGGGTACTTTCCTCAATGTGTGTCCTATCCACTTCCAGCGCTTCTTCCTGATTTCTTCCTCCGCTGGTATCTGATTTGTTATCTCCCACAGTATCTTCTGGATGATGGTTTTTGTAGTTTTTCAAGTTTTCTTCCATATACAAAAGAACTGTCTTGACATTTGTATTGAAGATTTCGACTTTGGTGTTGGTTGACAGTTGTTTTGAGTTCCAGATGTTCTTCTATTGTAGACATGCTGCTCTCGCTTTGCCGATTCGCGCTTTCACATCTGCACTAGATCCACTGTACTCATCAATGATGCTGCCTAGGTATGTAAAGGTTTTTACATCCTCCAAATATTCTCCGTGTGATTCGAGTGGTGCATGTTGTGTTGTATCAGAGAATCTTGCTTTTTCCTTTGTGTATGTTTAGACGTACTGCTGCTGAGGCTGTTGCAACACTGGTCGTCTACTCTTGCATTTGTTGATGCGTATGTGATAGAAGATCATCTGCGAAGTCTAGATCTTCCAGATGCATCCTAGCTGTCCACTGTGTTGGGTGCTTCCTCCCAGATGTTGACGTCTTTGTAATTCAGTCTATCACCAGGAGAAAGAAAGTAATCAACCTTGCTTGACACCGATCTTTAATTGGAATGAGTCTGTTTGTTGTTCCCCATGCACGACTTTGCAGTTAAATCCATCATAAGAATTCCGTATGATATTGACTATCTTCTTAGGCACGCCGTAGCGTCGAATATACCTCCATAATGTTGTCCAATCCACGCAACTACTTAATAATTATCTATCTTATGTGTGAATGATAGATTATAGCAACTCATTATACAATCTTGATTATGTTTAAATTTTGTTCAGCCTTTTTATTAACTTACTTAACAGACTATGTTATTCGAACAGTTTGTACTATTATGATCACTATCTTGTCTGTATAGACGTGTACTCTTGATCATAAATGACAGACTACGCATACCTCTCTCTAGCTCGATTGCTGATAGTCTAAATATCAGTCGATAAATCATTCTCTTCTCCATGTATCTATGTACTCGAATCCTATTATTAACCCTTACCTTGTTTAGCTGAGTCTTGATTCGATTTGACTATAAATTAGCCTCTGTATTCGCTTGCATATACGCATTCACCTCTCTGTTCCAAATTCACTCGATGTGATTGTAACTTTGTTATCTGTTCTATCCACAAATAAACTGTAGTCACCACTTCTTATTGCCTGTTGATTCAAAACATCTTTGACATTTATATAATCATGGTTATCGAGGTGATTGATTAACGAAGCTAAACCATTACAAGATCTATTTCACTGGTTGAAATCATGAGTCAATTGAAGCTAGACCACCATGGAAAACCTGGAAGCACTGGATGGCCGTTTCATCCTAGTATGGGACTCCTCAGATCTATTTCACTCAATACAATGCAAAAGTATGGCATTGATCAAATGTAAGATCTTATTTAATGTAGGAAATGGTACATCACTGTCAACCATTCTTATTGGGTTGTAACAGAGGAATTTGTTCAATCCTTTGATTATTTAGAATACGGTCATTTGATATGATTTTTTTGTGTTTAGTTGATCGGTATCTAAACTTCTTTTAGTTGATTATTGTTGGTCATTTAAGTAGGTAGTTTAGGAAGGTTTTGATTTGTTTAAAATGTAGTTTTCATCACACAAACTAACATGAATAGGATCTGTTCTTCTTACTGATGATGTTAGATGGATAAACATTGAAAGAAGAAGATCCTTCAATATGACAAACTTATAATTGGGAATGAGATACAATCTAAGTCAATTGGGCTGAGATCCACTAAAACATATTTTAGACCTTGATCAACTTGCCATTAAACAATGTTCCATTGGTATCTGAACTAGAGCAGTTCATTAATAGGATACTGCCCGGGTGCCCAAACCGAAGCACATAGTTTTCTTAAGAGGCCACACCCGGAATCTTTGACCTAATGGTCTGATCCACAAGATAGTGGAGCAACGTCAGGAGATGCAGCCCCTTGTTAGCCGGTGACCAATAATTGGTTCATACGTCATTAACCTCGTCAGAATCCTGGAGCTCATGTGAATCATTGTTTTAGAGTCAGGATTTTCTAACTCCACCCATGTGAATTCTCTGTGTTCACCAACCCGGTTAAAACGCCAACAGTAATGCCGTAAGAAGGCAGTGAGTACAGATTTCCTGATAGTGGCTGTATACGCGTGGCCATATGAAACCATTTCGAGAAGGAGTGCTAACTCTGCCCACTGGAACGTAATAATAATAATAATATAAACTTCAGTTGTACATAAGATTGTAAAAAAAGAGGAAATTTCCTCTGGAAACTTACTTGATTTGATTGATAATAAGCTTCTGCTCTACATAATAACAATTTAATATCTGGTATTGTTTCTTTATTTATTCCATTTGTATACGCTTGAATAGCTCTATGAATTTACACTATAACATAATAATGTAAACTAACCTAGTTGTTAGATTCAATTGTATATAGGTTAATCCTAATAGACGGTAGATATCAGCTGATTGAGGGGATCCATTATTCAAAGCTGCTTGAAAATCATGTACTGCCATTTTATACCTAAAAAAAAATAAAAATCCAGTGAAGTAAATTTGGAAAGAGAAAGAAAAAGAAAGGGACATGAAGAATTCAGAAGATTCGAATTTAGTAGAACACAAAGAATGGATGCACCTGCGCCATTGCAAACGATTTCGAGCCATGTCATTCAACGTCTCTAACCATCGATCGCTATCGTTTCGTGTATCCCAACCGGGTAGTCTACACCTACCAACATGGCTCAGTCCACTTGTCAGTGACTTCATGGACTTGTGCCATGTTTTGGTCTGGCCGTCCCTAGTTTTCTTACAACCTACTCCTACACCATAAAACGTCGCACGTCGGTAGTTGGGCATACGTCACACGTATCCCAGTCATCTCAGCTGATGAAGTCTCACTACTTCATCACTTGATTTGCCATCCTTACCTCGTACCTGTTTGCTAACAACTTCATTACTTAATCGATGGTAAAAGGATATAAGAGCAATGCTTCGAAGACACCTATGATCGAATACTAGTAACCTACGAATATCCTTCACTATGAACATCTAAATATGTTGGAAGGCAAAAATTCTAAAGATATTAGGGGAGATTTCAGTCATTCAGTTAGCTACATCGGTCCAAGTCGCCACACCTCATTAGCCCAACAAGATAAGCACCGGATTCATAGAAGTAGTTACTTCAGCGGTAGTAAAAAATGGATTCATATTACGATGTGATACAGGGAGAAAGAATTAGTTCTTAGAAAGAAAGGAATCAAGTAACTTCGATCTCACAGTTTAAGGGAAGACAAAGAGTATGTGAACCTACGCCAATATGTCACCTAGAGTTTCTAACCACTGGTTACGATGGTCGCGCGGACCGTGAACAAGTAGTCCGAATCTACCAACATGGCTAAGACTAGAAGTTAGTGACTTCATGGATTGACGCCATGTTTTGATTTGGCCGCCCCTAACTTTCTTTCAACTGTCTCTAACACTAGTCAGCATTACGCGCCGTGGTAGCCGGTGGTTGTGAATGCGTAACACGTGGTTGAACCATATCAATCGCCTTCGCCATTGGTGACGTAAGTTAGCTAAAGCCGAGCGAGCTTTGTAAGTCCGTGCATAGATTATGTCAGACACCAACTCATTAGGGTCGATCCGACTTCCCAGATAAATGAAGTTTTCGATATGTTCGTCTACTTCAATACCTATTCTTAGTTAATATGTTGACGCAATCCAGTTTGAATGCATCTAGATGCATGGTGATATTTTTTGTGAGACTTGATGCTAATAACTATTGTTTAAAACATTAAAACCTAATCCACTAGCCTATTGAGCCAGTAAGTGATTCTGATTATTTATTTAGGCATAAACTTCGAGATTCAACTACTGACAGAATCTTGTTGAAAACCAACAAATATATAATCTCAATGGTTAAGATCATGAGTCATTTGAAGCTAGACCACCATGGAAAACCTGGAATCACTGGACGGCCGTTTCGTCCTATTGTAGGACTCCTCATCAGTGCGTATCCTCGACCTCTTCCCCTGCGAGATTCGAACCCAGGACCTACTGGTTTCGCGCGCGAGCACTTAATCATTTAGTCTTAATAATTCAGTAATATTAGAACCACTAACCGACTAATGTTGGACCATCATCAAACATCTAGAAGCAACGAACTGCTGTTTCGTTCTAGTATGGAACGACTCAGAAGTGTACATGTACACCGTAATTCGGACCTATGATCATAATGAAACTCAGCAATCGCCAACAGTCTATACTGAAAATCATCATATCCTCATTAGTGACTAGCTTTGAAGGGAAATTCTTGAAGTTCTAGTGAAAATTTGTGACTTGTATAGTTCAAACGTGTCAAGTGTGAATCAGTTATCCTTCGAAGACAATAGAAGATGACCATAGAATAGGATAGATTGACTAAAGGTAGACTTGTACACTACTATCGTGGATCAGTGTAGTCTGAAATTTAAGCGTTTTAGCGAGGAAACTTTAGGTCCTAGTTTCGAATCTCACGTACGGTAGGTAGCACAGATGCCCACTTCTAAGCCTAGTATCATGATAAATTTATTAAACAAGGAATTGTTCTTATGAATTTACTGAACATATATAACATACCTTTTTAATTGATTAAACATTAATCCACGTTGGATAAAAGCCATAGTTTGATATTTTTGGTTACCAACATATATACACAATGTTAAATCACGTAATGATTGTAATGGACATGTTTTAGTCAGTAGACAACCACGTATATATAAAGCCTATAATAATGATAATGACTAGTAAGATGTTATAACTTACAATATATTACTATTATAAGTAGTAAAGTATAGTTATGGATGAATTCATAATGTTAATACTAATATATACTGTGATTAAGGGTAGCGGAAACTCCTCCTAAGGCCCCTCTGAGGCTACTGCCGGTCCAAAGCCCAGATAAGGGAGGAGGGTTGGGCATGGTGTTAGCGAACCCATCCCGTGGAAGACTAACTCGCCAAAAAACGCTAATCAGAAATAAGAGTAGCGGAGCACATACGCAAATGGCTTTAGAAACAAAAGAATTCCAGTAGTCATATACGATTACAGGATAAACAGACATCTTCCTTCATTGCGAAACATTTGATTGAGACTGACCATAAGATTGATATCAAGTCAGCATTTGTAGTATTGTATAAAAGCCTTCAAGGATGTTTATTGAAGCCTTGATTATACGAAAACTGAAACCCTATTTATGTATTCCAAAAAACAATTTGTTCTTACCCTTAACCTACCCTGGTAACATTGATTTACTATCCAGAGTAGTTATCACATTGTTTCTGTGTACTTTCTTCTACTTCTTTATTACGGCTTACCTTTAATCAGTCAAGTTGGCCCTTTAGTTTTCATATGCAAATGTTGGATAGTGGATGTATTGCTAAATCTCATGGATTATTTGAAGTTAGGGATTAACACCGTTGGATGCTGGCCAGCTCAGTGGTCTAGTGGTTAAGCACTCACGCGCGATAGGCCCTGGGTTCGAATCTCGCAAAACGTGATCGTGGATGCGCACTGCTGAGGATCCCCACAACAGGACAAAGCGGCCATTCAGCACTTCTAGGTTTTCCATGGTGGTCTAGCTTCAAATGACTCAGGATATCAACTATTGAAATATAAAAATGTCTTAACAAGTATATTGTGTGTGATCAGATTGTTCGAAATATATTACTCAAATATGTCATATAATTCTGATAACCTACATCTTCTCAGTGCATCATCTAAAACTAGTATGGTTTATTATTAAAATGATTTGTATTGTGTAACATTAAAACTTGTCTTAAGGTCCATGAGACATTCTTAGAATGACCTATATGATGAGATCACTAAAATGTGGTACAATATTTGAGACGAGCTCAAAAATAGTAGTTTGAATGAGAAACTAACTATTCGTTTACGAGCAAAGATGAATACTGGATAGCAGTGAAATCCAGGATAAAGCGCGGTTCATCCTATTTGAGACTCGTCAACTGGATGTACTTGCATCCCGTAGTTGATGTTCACTCTGGGACTCCAACTCAGTACCGTTCTCTTGAAACGCCACATATGCCAATAAAAGACTGATCATTTGCAGTCCTAAACATTAATGGGAAGATACAAGTAAAACAACACCAAGTGAATTTAAACTTCACCCCAACGTATAACCAAGTAGCTATCAGAACTCAGTCGCTAAGTAGATAACACGATGGCGTCTGAGTCGAACGGTACTGTGTCGGAGTTTCGGCTGGAGTGAATATCAACTCTGAGATGCAGGTACATTCAGTTGCCGGGTCCCAAACAGAACGAAACACATGTCATAGAATCCATTGATAGCTACTATCCATCTTTGTTTAGAATGTTTGTGAATTAAGGTAATATGGAGGCAATCCGTACAAACCCGTGCAAATATGCTAATAAGAGACTGATCAATTGTAGTCTTAAAAAAACTCAATGGAAAGATTTAAAAAAACAATACCAAGTGAATGTAGATAAACTTACTTTATAATACAATGGTTGAAAGTAAAGACAAGTTGTTAATTCAGCTAAAGCTGTATTATAATTAGATAATTTTAATAAACATCTAGCCAAATAATATCTTGCTTCAAAATATGATGGATTATTAACAAGAACCATTTTAAAATAAGAGATTGCTGTTCTCCAATCCCTTAGAATTGAATAAGAAGAAAGTGATTAGATAAAGTAATTGCCAGGTAAATACGTAGATAACGTAATTGAAATTTTTAGATTGAGATCATGAACTGATTGGTGTTAGACCACAATTGAAAACCTGGAAGCACTGGAAGGCCGTTTAGTCCTATTGTGGACTTCCTCAGCAGTGCGCATCCACGATCCCACTAGCGGGATCCGAACCCAGGGTCTTAAGTCTCGCGTGCAAACGCTTAAACCCTAGACCATCGAGCTGGTCGTCATCCAACGGTGTTAATGTCTAACTTCAACTAATCCACGAAATTGAACGAAAAAACCCACTGCGCACTGATGAGGAGCCCCACAATGAGACGAAACGGCCGTCAACCAATCTACGAAATTGCGCGATCATCTTCCGTTGTACTGAGGGAGATACCTGTCTCTGCCCAACACGGATTATCTCCACTGGTCACGGCTTCTCACTAGAACTTCGAGAATTCCCTCACGAGGCTAGTCACTAGTGAGGACATAATAATCTCTACAACCCTATACTGGTAATTGAAATTCTTTTGAAATACATACAGTACATTAGTTTCATTCTATTTAAAGTACTCTTCCTGTAGTGAACGAGAACACAAATGGGGGAAACTGAATAAAAAGTTACAGAACGTCTTATTAAGATCTGAGAACTATACAGTAAATACTTCATTTGTAGTATCGATCAAACATCTCAGACATGATTGTCCCTTCGTTTCTACACCAATCATAACTGTGATCGTTCTCTTTTTTCTTTGATCTTCTTAACCTTCTGCCACCAGGCATTTCACTTTCGATTGATTATATATACTACTTATATCTATCGGCATCAGTAACATACACCACATCTGAACTAAATTTAGATTTTTAGATATGATAATGTCAAAATAGTGAAACTATGAGTGAACTAAAGAGCCTCACTTTGAGAACATTCAAGGTTATTTTGAGGGACGAAATGCAATTGAGACAAATATATGACGAGTCCCAAACAGGACGAAACGCGCGTCCTGGATTCCACTGCTAGCCACTATCCATCTTTGCTTAAGATGGATATTAGTTTACAATGAATAAGGTCGATTGACCTCAACTAAGTAGTCTACATCTAACAACATGGCTCAAACTAGAAGTTAGTGACTTCAAGCACGGATACCATGTTTTGGATTGGCCACACTTAACTTTCTTCCAAACCATCTCCAAGACTAGTCAGTATTGCACGTTGTGGTAATCGGTGTTCAAGCATACGTAACACGTGTCCCAATCATCTCAGTCGATGAATATTTACAACCTTATCAACCAATCCACCATCATTCCCTAATACATTGAGTCAACAAAATGGAACTGAGTGAAGTCATGAAAAGTTTACTTACTTCGAGTGAAATTTATATAAACCACATTGAAATTGAGCATAGACTGACTTGGGATTTATACAGAGGATTTTCATAAAATCACTATTTGCCTGATGATACATTTTTAACTGAAACAAATAAGAAAAGCAATAAAATTTCACTATTTAAGATCATAAGTCAATTGAAGCCAGACCACCATAGAAAACTTGGAATCACTTAACATCCGTTTCGTCCTATTCTGGGTTTCCTCGGCAGTGTGCGTCCACGATCCCACCTCTCGAGATTCGAACCCATGACCTCTCGGTCTCGTGCACGTACGCCTATCCTCTAGACCACCGAGCCTGTACCCTACTGTGTTAATTTATATAATTTGTTCACATAAAAATTTCTAATGAAGTCATTTTGTCACAGGCAAGCATTTGTATGATTTATAGACACCCATATACTGATAAAGATTCTAACGTCATTTGTTAAGCTTTGCAACTAGAAACATTAGTAGTGGTCTATTACGGCTAAACGAAAATGGACGCCGTTCACACACGTAAGTAGCTTTGGGTAGTTTTTTTAGAGTTCTTTTATCATGTTAAATAGATAATGTTGAATACAATTTATTTCATACGAAAGTTTCGCTAAATTCTAGTTACCATTTTTTCCGACAATTGCTGCTACATTTGACGTGGTGGTAGGGCTTGCCTATTGTGATACCCAATCGGGCTATACTGGCTGGAACAATCGTTCTCCAAAGTCCTACCATACCAGACAGGTGGGTTGAGGAGAAGTAAGACTAAAAGCAGTAAGCCCAAGGTCCGAGGGCAAAGTCGTACTGCTGATTGTACAGAGGTTAGACGGCAGTAAGCTGTTTTACTTCAAACAACCGGTATAACAACGATGCTTCTTTTTTACAAGGAGGGGTGGGGTTAGAAAAAGTCGACCATAAAAATGCGAACCTCGCCTTATCCAATGGAGTTTTGTCTTCAGCGGTAAGGTTCTAACAAGTACGGGGCTAACACGGTAATTATCCACAGAAAGGTCGTGTGTGGTCGGCGTTAAGCAGTTGTCTCCTAGGTAGTGCGGTCACGCTTTTGGGTCACTAAGACCAAATCTGACTCGTTTCCCTTTCTAATTACCTCTAGAAGAACCGTTCCACAGTATGGGAAACCAGAAAGTAGTAACCACCCTCAAAACCTCTAACAGCAATCAAGTTACTATTTTTAGAAGGGTTTGTGGTAGAGTCAAATTTCACTAAGTTGACTTAGCTTTCTAAGGATTATTTATTTATAGTTTAATTATCAAGGGAATATGTAATGTAGGGTAGATAAAGCTAGTGTATCAATTGTGTTGGTTCATACGAAAATCGTTCATGTCATCTTACGGTCTACACTGTTGAAAATACTATAAGAAAGTCATTACCAAAATCTCTTCTCTATTGAATTATACTACAACCCAAGACATTTGGTATGTATCACTACCAAATCTTGTTAAGAAAACTTATTGAACAATGAACCGCGACTTGACATACAGATGTTCTTTGCTTGTTTTTCAGCTGATTTTAATTTATAATGGAAGATACCTATATGTTGTACCGAAATCTTAAACACATCAGTATAAATATCAGGTTATTTTTCCTTATATGGAATAAACATTCAAAAGAATATATTTTTCATAGAAATATAAACTGGAAAGATGGATAATGGCTAGCAGTGGAATACAGGATACGTGTTTCATCCTATTTAGGTCTCGTCAACTGAATGTACCTACGTCCCACCAGTTGATAGCCACTCTGAGACTCGAACCCAGTATCGCAAATAATATCAAGTGGATTTAAACTTTACCGAATGGCTATCAGAACTCAGTAGTCAAGTGAATAACATGATGGTGTTTGAAACGAACGATAGTGGGTTCGAATAGTGGCTGGAGTGAATATCAACTGTGAGATGTAGGTAAATGCAGCTAGCGAGTTCCAAATAGAACGAAACGGGCGTCCTGAATTCTTTAGCTAGTCACTATCCATCTTTGCTTAAAAATCTTGTGACTTAAGGCTATATCGAGGCAATACGCACAGTATGCACATATACGAATAAGAAACTGATCAATTACAGTCTTATACGTCAATGGGGAGATTTAAGTAAAACGATACCAAGTGAATGTAAACTGGAGTTATAAAAAGATTTCTAGTTTGGATCCCATTGTATTACACTCGAAGACCGATTGGAAATCTGATTGGCACATGTATATCAAGAAAGTGTCATGTTTAAAATCTTATCAAAGTTATGTTTTGCTTCACGTGGTGTTATTTTACTTGTATCTTCCCATTGTTGTTTAGGACTGCAATTGAACAATCTCTTATTGACGTATGTACATCTTGTGCAGATTATCTCGATATAGCCTTAAGTCACAAGCATTTTAAGCAAAGATGGATAGTGGCTAGTAGTGGAATATAGGACGGGCGTTTCGTCCTATTTGGTACTCATCAGCCGAATGTACCTGCATCTCAAAGTTGATGTTAATTCCGGGATTCGAACCCAATATCGTTCACTTCAAGTCTCAAATAGGACAAAACACTCTTTGTCCTGGATTTCACCGTCAGTCACTATCCATCTCTGGTTATGTTCTGATTTCTGAATATCAGTCTTATGTGTTTTCACTAAGACAAAAACAAAAAAATCATAATCACCTTGAGATAAAGATTAGCTCTTTTCTCATAAGCTAATTCATATGTCGGATTATAATGAATTAATTTTGTCCATATTTCAATTTCCATTTTAGAATCATTTAATAATGAATAAATAAATGCTTTTGAATTAAGAATATCATGATAAAACTGATGGAGATTAGTATTGAAACTTTTCATATTACTATTATTATTTCTGTTGTCAGTAGTAGTCGTGGTCATCGCCGTCGCCGCCG